GTGAAGTTTGAAGAGAGACATGAGAATACGCTTTTGGTGATGGGAATATTATAAATAAAATTGTAATTCAATGGATTGCTGTTGAATTGATAGAGAAAAAGATGTCTGAAGAGATCTTTGGGGATTTTTAATTGTTTGGTGGGATGATTTAATTTCAACTGCCAAAATTGGAAGCGATTGTGGAGTTTTTGAGGATTAAAATTTTGTAATTGTTATACAAATGGAAATTATACCAGATTGTGGATTTGTACTTGATGTTTCGACATCGATCGTTATTATATCATGTGTTTGTCTCGTCTGATGACTCAAGTGTATTTTTTTTTTCCCTCTCAATATGAATTTTAGGGTAGATGATTGAGGGAAATATATAACCACTCGTGGAATGCCTTCGTAGTGAATACAGTCTATATTTTTTAATACCTTCGAGGATTTCTGCGCATGATAGAATAACGATTGAAACCTTGAGGTTTGTTCGTGAATAATATCGATATGCATTTGAATTTTGAATATCTACTGCATGTGTGCATCCAGACCATTAATATTATATCATGTAAGGACGGTGTGATTTTTGTCAGTCGGTCGATTCAATTTGTCCGGGAATAATTCATAAAATAGTCAACGAACTACTATTCAGCAACGAAAATTTGTGAAAATAAAAGAAAAAACACTAAAAAACATGGAAAGATATCTTCGTCCATTCTCTCTTCGTCTTTTAGGGTAATTAAGGAAGATGTATCAATCCAACGAATCGACCAATGTTTTGTCTCAATGAGTTTTGAAATGAATCGTGGAGCACCGGCCATTCGCTGGCCGTTTTAGATGCTTATTTTACATGGAAAATAAATTTGGTCCAAGAAAGTAATGAAGGATTGACAGTTATAAACAATTTTTAAACTAATTATCTAAATGTATTCGATATGTATTCAGCAGTTTTATCGTGTTTACTCTACTTTCTATCTAATCAGTGTAATTACTATTGAGTTTTAGTGAGTCTTGTTAATTAATTTGTCTACTTTTGTACTTTTATACGACTACTTTGTGATCGCTGGACCGAGAGTTAATATCGAATTGAGAATACTGATGATTGCAAGTGATCACCATCTCTCATGGCAATACGAATCAAAAAGAAATACGAATGAATAGTGATAACGTAACAAATACGGTGTGTGAATAATATCCCAGGTGTTACCTATTTGAATATCCGTAAAATTAATCGTTGGAATAATGAGTGCTTGTAGTTTCTCAAATGAAAATCATATTCTTGATGCGAAATATTTACTCTCTGTGTGATTTATCCAGTTCTCACAAAGATAGTTTAACCTGCAAGGAATAACGAATATTAGAGTAATATCTATCAAACGAATTTGAAACGACTAACGAATTGCCTTGGCTGCTCGCACGAGTGATGAGATTCAATGTTACGCTGTAATCATAATTATTTATAAGAGTTTTAAAGAGACCATACTCTAACGAAATAAAGAGAATGAAAATATCCATTAGTATAAATCGTTTAACGGTAGGCGCTCGCTAGCTGAGACTATTTTAACAGAGAATTAATACTCCGCCGTTGCTGTATTGATATAACCGCTGGGCGCTCTATATGTGTTTTTAAAAATGGAGAAACAATATATATATAAATTATGTATATGGACATTCAATCTCAGAGATACTATCAATCACTCATATTGACGTAATTTATGTTAGGAATTAATTACGAGGGGCTACTCACCTCTGAAGATCAGCTCAATACGTGAAGATTCATGAATGTCTCCATCTTGTTTATTTACTCATAATTTTTTAAATGAGATTTAATTCCGTCGAATCATCATCTTCAAATAATTTTTTTTTTCATTAAAAAAATGCATTTAGATTGCTCTAGTCTAGATTAAGGGTTGAATAATATAAATTTATGGAATACCTTTGTTCAGAAGTGAGTAACGTCTCGAAAAAAATGTCACATCCCTCCTGATCCAATTAACGTTACCTCTGGCGCGTTCCGGGCGATTGTGAGAACATCTAAAAATTGAATAGATCAGTGAGTGTACTGGGACCTGAAAGATAATGGGGTGAAGATTTTTAAACCGAAAATTTGATACGAAGAATCTTGAGCAGAAGATAGATAGATAGCTAGCAAAATAGATCGACTGATCGATTAAGATAATGAAAAATACAAAAGTGTGAATGCTGATGTGTGTGTGAGAGGCCTGGGAAGTGAAACCGAAATAATAATTGCCTAAGTAGTGATAAAATAATCATTGCGATACAAAATCACGAGAAAACCTGAAAAAAAATAATAATAATAATAAAATTTGTTTTACCATTTTATTGATTTAAGATGCGTTGAGATGTTATGATGGAGCGACAGGTGTTGTCCAAAGTAACGGAGAAAAAAAAATGAAATAATAGAAACATATTAGATAAGAGAATTCAATGAACCAATAAAAATGGTTGTCGTTCTGATGAAAACCGATTATTTCAGATTAAATGGAGAGATAATACATCACACTCGTTTGGACACTGTAAAAGCCGTTTTTACAGTGTTTGAACAGACAAATTAAAGTTTTTGATCAAATCTAGAGATTAATTAGAGAAAAGAATGGCAGGAGAGAGTGGAGAGATGGCGAGAGTGAGAAAAATGTCGATTCCACTCTCCTCTACCTCTGAATCCTGAATAACGAGTGCACACATTGTGACTGTCCCCTCGTCTTACAATTAAAGAACAATTTTAATTAGAATAAAGAAATATTCTGCTCATATGTAACATCAAAAATGTATACTGTTAGAGACAACTGCTGAGATTTCACGATTACACTTACCCCACCAGCTCCACCTCCACGAATATTTACTTTTCAGCTTTGGAATTTGGTACTGACGAAACTATTTAGTACCCACTGTAATGTTCACATTGAATCACTCGTCAAATACAATAATAAAATACATGTATTTTCGCAAGAAAAAAAAATAAATAAAAATGATGAAATTTTATGAAAAAAGTAAGCGAATCACTGTT